CAGCATCTGCAGTTCCTACTATCTCTGGGCTTGAATGGTTTTGATTTTTTAACATCCACAAAATTTGTCTGTCCATAATGTTCTTAATAAATCTGTTTTATACTCTTATTGATTTTTTTGTTTCAGCTTTGGTCCAATGTTTTGTGTTCCAATTGTTTAGAAACGAATGTTAATTTTGAGAGTTTCTTAATTTTATTACTCTGCTTAGCCCGTCTAGTTCTGAGTTGACTTGTGTTCCATATCTTTTTTCCTCAAGTAGTTTGACTGTCCCTGTGTTGTTAAAGAAATCCTTCAACTTGAAATAGCTCTTAAAAAAAATGCAACTGCTGTTTTTAAGTCTGCTATTAAGATGTTGAAATATGCCTATAGCTCCATGCTTTTCAAACAATGTATAAGTTGCGCAACTCATAGAATATTATATATTTACATATTCTCTTGAATGCAGCACGAAGTCTTAAGTAACTGGAGGAGTTGTGCTTATAGCTTGCCACGAACTAATGTAATTCATATTTGTCTATAGTTACACTAAGAAAGATGGCTTATTAACTTTCCTGTTAGTTAATTCAAATATTTAAAATGACCTAAAATAACACACTGCTTATCAAATGGTTAATGTCTTGACTCTTCTAAAAAAAAATTTTCTGTAAATCAGACTTTGGGATCCTCACGCAAGTCTCTGGATGCCCCCTCCTGGCCAGGTGTTTATCGGCTCGCCATGTCACTCATGGAAAGACTTTTAAAATCACTCCGCTACAACTTCCTTTCAGAAGCTTTAGACTTTGTTGGGGTTCATCAGGAGCGGATATTGCAGGTAGGGTCCAGTTTTTCCTTGGAGAATTCAAAACTGTGCTAAACTTGTGGAATTTCTTTGAACTAAAGATTCACTTTCTTAACATCTTTCCATAAATTCCAATTCTACATTTGTTTCAACATTTCTGTTTAGCATTATATTGAAGTGGAACATATTTCTGGGGTGTGGTATTTACAGCATTGTATTTATTGAATATGCACAAATCGCTTGAAAAATTAAATTCATTGTTGCTGAACTGTTTTGCTGATTCTGCTCCTCTGAGAGGTTTTCAAAATCATGAGCAGGCTGGATGGAGTAGATCGGGAGCAAACTATGTTTCAGCTTTAAAAGGAATGAGAGGATATAGAATTAAAGGGATTTACAAAAGAAGCAAGGGAGATGTGGTAAACTTTTTCACTATGAATAATTAGGATGTGGGATGCACTGTGTGTAAGTGTAATGGAGGCAGCTTCAATTGAGGCATTGAAGAGGGTATAGGATCATTATTTGGATTTTTAAAATGTGCAAGTGTATGGTGGGAGAAAACAGGTAATTGTGGGAATTTGAAGTGGAGGCACGAAGTGCTGAATGGCCTCCTGTGTTGTAGAACTTTGTGATTCATTCAGGGCTTAATTGTGGCTACAGTATAAATGCCACTTAATAACCTGCTGCTCTGACATAACTGTTGATCTGTCCATGCATAACCGCTTGCTATTCAACTAAGAAATGTAAGAAAGGGTGTGCTTGCCCTCGAGGGGGTGCAGCAAAAGTTCATTAGATCGATTCCTGAGATGGTCTTATTTTCAAATGATCTTGAGTAAGATTTAAAATATTCAAGACTGAGATTAGTACCTAAATATTTATCAATGGGGATCGAGGAGATGTGGATGTGGGAGAAAGTCAAATTTCAGTCAAGACCTTTTTTGAATGGTACAACAAATTTGAAGTATGACAGATACTCAGTTTGGATGCTTAGATTAGATAGATACCTTCCAGGCCTCTAGATGGTGCACTTTCGAGAATAATAATGTGGTCTCTATGGCGTATGTATGTTGCTTCACCAACAGTTGCTTTCTGTCTGTTAGTCCTGGGTTGACATGAAGGTATTAGGTCACTTTAAAATTATGAATAGATGGAGCTGTTAAGCACAATGGTGATTTTGTGCATCAATGTATCTGTCTTTATCCTTAATCCTTCTTCCATAGTGCTTGGATGCAGTCCGGAAGGTGCAGAGCCTGGCTTGCCTTGATGAAGTTGATCACACAGTTGGGTTTATTCTTCAACTCTCCAACTTCATCAAAGAGTGGCGTTTTCACCTGCCACAGCTCCTTCGAGATGTACAGGTATGCTTTAGCTCAGACGCGGTTGATCTTGAATTTCAGCGATCACTTCCCCTTTTTGAATAATTGAAAGTTGAAATCCTGTCAATGTACTCTTCATCTTAATGCCTCGTGCAGGACAAATGAGATTTTTGGGGAACAGTTGACATAGTTAACCACCTTTTCTGTTTATTACAGGTGAACCTATGTTACTTATGTCAGACATGTACTTTTCTGCTTCACAGCCCCAAGGTGCTTCAACACTATTTGCAGGTCAGTACTTTTAATTTGACTTTAACTGTGATTGTAAAATGTCAAATACTTAATACCTCAGTTTACCATATAGTGCTATCAGATGATATATGTCTTCTAAAAGTTTGCTGATGGTATAAAGGTAGAAGAGAGAGCACAGTCTGCAAGTGGATATACTGTCGATAGGTTAAGTGAGTGGGCAAACATTTGATGGAATATGTGAATTTGCCTACTTTGGCAGGAAGATTAGAAAAGCAGCATATTATTAAAACAGAAAAGATTGTAGAACTAGGAGGCCTGAGGTATTTGGGAATCCTGACACATGAATCACGACACATGAATCACAAATGAATGTATGCAGGTACAGCAAATGTTTTGGAAACAAACAATGTTAGATTTATTGCAGGAGGAAAGGAATATAAAAGTAGGAATGCTTTTCTAGAGTGGTGTAGAGCTTTGAGGCCACATTGAAGTGCTGTGTACAGATTTGTTCTCCTCATCTAAGAAAGCATGTAAATGTAATAGAAACAATTCAGAGAAGGTTCACTTGACTGATACCTTGGATGGAGTTGCTTTATCCTAATGAGGAAAGATGGATACTGGAAGGATGTCTTTTCCCTTGTGAGAAAGGTCTAGAATTAGAGGATACAATTTAAAAATGAGAGGTCTCTCGTTTGAGATGGATATGAGGAAATTTTCCCTCAGTTGTGAGTCTTTAGAATTCTCTTCCCCAGAGAGTAGTGGAGATGGGAGTCATTGAATATTAAGACGGTTGTGGATAGATTCCTGACTAACGAGGGAGTCTGTGGTTATCAGGGCTCGACAAAAATGTGGCACTGATGATATCATTGAACGGCAGGGCAAGCTTGACGGTCTGATTGTTCTATTGTTCATGTGTATGATTTGAGCCTTTACGTAAAAGCATTGTGGTCGTTTGAATCTTGGGCTATGGGTTTTGGGAATGAAATGAAATAACTATTCTGCTGGCAATCTGCTTGCTAACCTTTTCCTACTGGATCAGGTTTAGAAACAGCTGGCCAAAATAGAAAAATATGTTCTTTAATTTGTCCCTCTAGTCCAGAGTTTACTTTGTGCCCTGGAACCCTACAAGTGAAGAGGATCTGGGTTCTTTTGCTGGTCGGGCCAGAATCACAACAACAGGCTCCTACTCTTGATGCCTCTCCCTGAAAGTATATAGAGTGTCAGCTTATGATGGGGTCACCTTGGATAAAGTGTTTCAAAATGAGTGCCAATCATACATGTACACACATGAATCATGGCCATAGAGTGACTGACAGTGGAAGTCAGTGAGGGCGTTAAATTTCTGGAGGGAGGATGATTGAAGTTGGGATGGGGGGGTGGTGGTGGATGTCATTTGGGGGTTTAAATAAAGACCGCTAAAATTTGATCTGGTAATAGAATTTCGGAGACTGAGTGGAATTTATTGCAAACTCATTACAGAGATTTGAACTCTAGTACTTTTATTTCTGGCTATTATAAATGTCTTTATTTGTTGATGAGGCAAATCTTGGAGAAGAAATTTGTCATTTTTAATAGTGCTCATGGAGGTTTCTCACAGATAAGTTGCCTTACATTGTAAAAAGTCTAAAGTGTGGAAAAATAAATGTTTTTGTGTCTGCATGTTTAAATCGAGTCATTTATATGTGAAAGTGCTGTGATGAAGGATTGACAGTTGTATAAAAATGAATTGAGAGAGTTTCAGTTCAGACTTCAATGACACTGGTGTACAGAAATGGGCAATGCAAGCGTACTTGCGTTGCAATTTTAATCAAGAAAGTGAAGCCAGTAATCAAGTCGAGGGAGCTTTTTCTCATGTTTCAAAAGTTGAATATTTAATCCCTTTGAGAAAACGAACAATAGTTTTGTCAAATATAATTGCCTTCACAGGTGAAGAATGGTGATTCTATTCCGTCTGCAATTCTCCCTCGACAACCAAAATCCGTTCAGACTCCAATGAAACAACAAAACACAGAAAAAGAGGAAATGGAGCAGCGTGCATTGCTGAAAGTCCAGTCTAGTTTGCTTAGGATTCTGAGTAAGACATTAGCAGCTGTTCGACATTTTACCCCTGATCTCTCCCAGATACTGCTAGACCAGGTAAATAACTATTGTCTGTGAATTCCTGCCATAAACATAGTATGGCTGAATATTAAATGCAATTCTAGTTTGATGCTCTTGGTTACTGAGATTCCCAGTGTGTATTTAGTATTATGCCTCACTGGTATAACATGCTGGAATCACGGTCTATATAAATTTTCCATGCCGTTCTTGGAAGCCTGATCATGAAATGCAAATTCCATTATGAATAGGAGTTTGTGTGTGAATATCCATTCAATATTAGGCTTTGAAATCACTTAAACTACTTTGAGTAGTTTACCAGTAGTGGTGATGGCCTAATGGTATTATCGCTAGACTATAAATCCAGAAACTCAGCTCGTGTTCTGGGGACCCGGGTTTGAATCCCACCATGGCAGTTGATGGAGTTAGATTCTTAATTTTATTGAATTCAACTAATTACCATGAAAGTATTGTTGATTGTCAGAAAACCCCCTCTGGCTTGCTTTAAGGAAGAAAATCTACTGTCCTCACCTGGTCTGACCTACGTGTGACTCCAAACCCTCAGCAATGTGATTGACTCTCAACTGCCCTCTAAAATGGTCTAGCAAGCCATTCAGTTCATGTGCAGCTAGGGATGGACATTAAATGCTGGCCAGCCAGCAACGTCCATGATCGATGAGTGAATAGAAAAGTTATCAGCTTACTGTTATATTGGAGCATATATATAGGCATTTAGGCTAAAAAAAATGTACTGCAGGAATCTCACCACCCGATGCCAGGACCCTATTTGCCAAATACGTAAAGTAGAAGAATGCTGATGGACACCTTTCTTCCTTTCCTGTGTACTTATTCGAGTTATTTTATTTGTATAGTCCCTGGATCTGGCTGAATATGATATGCTCTTTGTCCTGAGCTTTACTACTCCGGCATTTGATTCTGATGTTGCTCCATCATTTGGTACTCTACTAGCAACTGTGAATGTTGTCTTGAACATGCAGGGAGAGGTAAGAGGCTTAAGTGTTATAACCTTAATGTGATAGTCCAATGACACATGCATGAGTCAGTGATGGCTGAAAATTTAGGCTACAGACATTCATTTTTGATTTTATTTTACAGTTTGCATTTTACCTTCAGAGGTTTGCAGCTGCTTTCTCAGAGTAATGAATCCACATTGCCTTTGCTGTATCTAATTTTCTACATTATCGAATCAGTGACACTTGCTGGAGTAGAGTTCCACAACCACTGGCAGCCTTCCAGTACATCGTGCTAAGATCATTTGTGTTTTGAGAGCCTTGACTGTGACCATTAGTTTGATTGATGAGGCTAGCAGATATCCTTACTGTACTTTCAGAAATTCAGCAGATCTTTCTTGTAGACACTGAGCCAAACTGTGATGCCAGCATTGCTATCTAGTCAAGATCTGGTAATTCCGTACAGCTTTGGGAATCTAATGCACATTGTTCATTTGAATGACTTAGTTCACTACCATGTGGTGCATTTACTGACTGAACCATTAGGAAATCTCAAGAATGAGCTTTGTTCAGCATTTTTTAACTGTTTCAGCCTTTCAGTGTAAACGGAATGCACTGTCAGTTTACTCATGGCCATTATTTGCTTACAGGATTAAGTGTCTATTCCATATGTATGGTATAAAATGTGTTGTCATTTTTATAAGTTGCTGGACATAAAGGAGGAAAAGCATTTTGTATTAGGAATTTTAATATATTTCCTGACAGAGCTATTTATGGTCTAATTTACATCAGGATCTGCCTCCAAAAAATTGCTTTTAATTGATTTCAGGATTTGCCTATGTAGCAATTAGACATCTTGGTCTTGAATGTACATCAATGATCGATACAAATTACTGGATTAATACATTGTATATTATGTGGGACACTGTTTTTGTCCTTTGTCATGAGATGTGCTGTCCTGTGCTATGAGCAATGCTGTGGCATTTGTGCTAGTTTAATATTGTAACTACATCTGTAAGATTTGACTGTACAGTCCCTGCAAATCACAAACCATTCTTCAATTTATCTTACCAAAAGTTTCTTCTGCACCCTTGTAGGATGTTATTTGAATGGCAATTGGGAGACTAGGAGAAACATAATTAATTTTACCCTTTGTTTCAATACTATCATAACCGCAAAGCTTACGTTTCCAAATGGTATCTTTTTTTACATTGTTTGCAAGTATTTTTATTTCTCATGATTTGTAGACAAAATGCATAACAGAAATATCTCTGGTATGTGAGCGTGTTTTGTTTTCCTTGTAGATTCTTTGAGATTAATAAATTGAAGCTTCACTTCATCTGGAAGTCCCAGAAATGGGGAAGGATGCAAGGTTGCTGCTTCTAATGGTTATCAAGTGACCTCTGCTGGCACATCTGTGTGACTTGAGTGTTCTGGATTTGCTCTGTTGTTTAAGCCCACGTTGAATAGTCTGTTCAAACTGGCTTGCGAAGGATGATCAGCTGAGTGAGGTACCAGAAGGCAGCCACCACAAGTAGAACACGAAGGGGAAATAAAAGCAAAAACCTAAATAACACAGGTTTACAAATAGCAAATATATGCACACTAAAATGTTTGTTGCCTTGAATGAGAAGGTGGCATGAATGCTATATTTCTGCATTTTTCTTAGATGTTTTTCATTCTTTGTAGATTGATAAGAAGAAGGAGCCCATATCTTTGAACGTGGGGCCACTGACTTCAACTGAAGAGGCAAAGTCATTAAAGTAAGTTTAAAGAGCGAGGCTCTTGCATTTTAACTTCAGCCACAACCTCAAAACAGTTCACTGCCAGTTGCAGTATCTCACCAGCATTGAATGAAGTTTGTTTGGGTGATAGACTACTAGAAAAACAAACACAGTTAATTAAGTCTGTGGGAACAAACTAAGAAACATTTTTGCCGTGAAATTTGGCATTCTACTTTGGGAAAATCTGAGATAAATATAAATCAGACTCCATGCATTGCCTAGTCTTGGTTACAGCTGTCTATTGTATTCTTGTGTGTTGGGATGTTTGTTGATCTGGTATGTGTAAATATTTATGACTGGATGATTATTCAAAGTGTTCGTTATGAATTCATAGAATGGCTTATCTACAGTTGACCATGAATAAACAGAAATTGTCTGACAAATTAACTTTTTTCTAAAGATAGTAGTAGTATCAAATAACTAGTAAAATCAGTTCTGTAATCATCTTTCCTTTCCCTTCTGACGTAGAATTAACTTGCATAGATTTCACCTGCGGTATAAAATAGCTGCTAAAACCAAGCTCTACCCATTCATCACTAAAGAAAACTGTCCACTGTGGACACATCTTTGATCTGAAATTTTGTAAGCTTTTGTTATTTGCACCTCAATGATTTTGCCACTGACTGAAATAGAGGTACTGGTTGTCTAATATGTAAAATATTAGTTTAGATTTTTGAGAACAAATGCTTTATATTTGTCCTTAAGCTGTATCCATTGCTGTCAAAACTGAACTTGTTGCTGGAATCTGCTCGTCTTTAACTGCGTGCAACTGAATGTCTTCCTAGGTCACTTCAGATGGCACTAAAAGCTGCCATTATAGTGTGGATTAGAGTCACATATAGGCCAGATTAAATAGCAATGGCGATTTCCACTGACCTTTTGTGAATGTTAGATTTTTTTTTTTTTTACAGCAATCCAGTATTTGTGCACATTTATTCCGGTGTTGCTTTTTTGTCCATGGCCTGTGGCATTGCTGGGTAGACCAATATTTATTGCTAATCCATTTAAATACTGCAAACAAGAGAACTGAAGGTTAAACTTTTGTCTTGGACTCATCAGGACTGAAATACAAGAAGTTTAATGTGATCAGTCAATGAAGGGCAGTGGAGACCGCCAATCTCTGCTACATTCTCATGATAACAGTCTGACAAATCAGTTGTCTTGCTTGTTTGCTTTTAATTAGTTAACTAAAACAGTTCCTGTAACATCTTCAATGCTAATTATAGTCCAACCAATCAGCAGCCCCATATGTCATAGATATAGAGATGCAGGTGGTGGTGTTCCCATGCCACCGCTACCCCACGTTTCTCGATTGGTTGAGGTTATTGCAGGTTTGGAATTTGCTATTGCAGGATTCTGGGGGTATTGTTGCTGTGCATCTTATAGATGCTGCAGGATCTCAATGGTGAAGAAAGGCGCCTTTATCCTAGATTGTGTCAAGCTGCTTCAATGTTGTTGGAGCTACATCCATGCAGACGACTGTAGAATATTTCATAGCATGCTTGTGGACAAGCACTGGGGAGATGAGAGGTGAATTACTAGCCATAGAATTCATAGTGTATGACTTTCTCATGTGGCCACTATTCATCTGGCTATTTCAGTTCAGCCTCTGGTCAGTGGTAACCTCAAGGATGATAGTAATGCTACCATTGAACATCAAGGTCAATTGTTAGATTTTCTCTTGTTGGAGATGGTGATTGCTTAGCAGTTGTGTGTTATGAACGTTATTTGCTATTTATCAGTCTAAGCTGGGATGTTCCCCATGTCTTGCTGCCTCTGGGTATGGGCTGCTTCAATTCCGAGGAGTTGTGGATGTTGCTGGACAATGCAGTCATCAGCTAACATTCTCACTTCTGATCTTATCATGGATAGAGATGACATAGATGATGGTTGGGCCTAGAACATGACCCTGAAATGTTTCTTCAGTGATATCCTTAGAGTGTGATGATGGGACTTCCAACAACTACAGCAATCCTCCGTTTATGATAGTTATGCATCTAACTAGTTGAGAGATCCCCCAACCTTTCCCGGATTTGATTCCTATTTTGCTGTGGCTCCTTGACACTGTATTTGATCAAATGCTGCATTGATGTCAAGGGCAGTCACTGTCATTGAGCCTCTGGGTTTCAACGCATTTTTGTCCTTATCTGAACTGAGGTTGTGATGAGGTCAGGAGGTAGTTGACCCTGACCGAACCTAAATTGAGCCGCAATGAACAGGCTGTTACTGAGCAAATCGGGCTTAATAACACTCAACCCTTTCCATCACTTTGAGATTTGACTGATAGGGTAGTAGTTAGCTTTCTCCGGACATACCTGGGTAATTTTCCACATTGCCAGTTGGATGCTAGTGCTGTACTGAAACAACTTGGCTACAGGTGGGCTAGTTCTGAAACACATCCTCAGAGTGGTGGAATGTTGAATCATGATGTGCTTAATTAACTGAATTTGATTTCAAATCTCACATTTCAGTATTTCTGGGTTCTGATATCAACAATAAATTTAGATAACCTCACGTGTGAACTATTTCAGATTGCTTTGATTTCTCCTTTTTATTTAAGACATTCAGTATTATCTTTTGAGGTTAACCTTTCATAAGGGATACTAATCTCTGCATTGTTCCAATTTTATGTGTCATGGACTATGTAAACAATGTGGTATCTACTGATTCTAGTTGGCATAGGTTCAGTAGTTAAGGCCCATTCCCATGTGTTTGCATGTCTCCTTACAGCATCCTTCCTGCCTTCTAGTATGAGGTCTGCCTTTGTTCTACGAGATTACGTTGGCTCATTTTTATAAACATACCCCCTCCCCCAGCTAGTTATTATCAGCACAATCTACACCCAAGGGGAGCAAAATACGTAAAGGTATAAACTGCGTTGATGTTGGAAATTGGAAATGGTAGAAGTTCTGGTGTGTGGGGCAACTGCATAATCTGCAATTCCTCAAATTAAGTCAGTTGTATTTCATATCATAACTGGAGAGATTTTGATTCTGTTGCATTGCTGACTAAAGTTACCACAAGTAAAATGTAATCAGGTGGATTTATTTCCATGAGCCTGGAGATTTGTTAAGAAAAAAATTCTTTGCAATTCCCAGACCACACGTGTTGTATAGCTTAAAATACTTGTCTAAGAGCCAAAGTTTTATGATCCAGGAGGGTAACTTAATACATACCAGCTGTTCTTTTGTTTATTACAAGGCTTATATTTGCTCAAAATTCAAAAATGTCATTTACTAAGCTGTAATATTTCATATGGTTTTCAACTAATCTTCACAAAAAATCAGACCACTGGCCAAACTCTTATCAGAATCACGTCAGTAACTTTGAAGGTGCTTTGACTCAGTGATTGAACCTTCAGTTTTGCCCGAGTCACAGGTTTAGGTTTGAAGCTCAGACCGAAACATCAGCTTAGATTATGTGCTAGAATATTGTACTGACTGAGTCTGAAATGTTCAAATGAAACATTAAGTTGCATCTCTGTGCTGCCAGGTAAAAGGTTTATGGCACCAGCTGAACAAGAATGGAGAAGTTCTCCCAGCCTTCCTTATGTTTTAACTAAAGTGTCTGCTATGCTTCTCCATCAAGTACTTGGGCATATCTAAATGCATGTTCTATCATACTTTATATGGTTAGTTACCATTCCTCAATAAATTGTCTTTCAATCTTTTTTCTGATTGCTACTTTTTCAAATTTATATCTTTTTTCCAACTTGCCATGAATAGTGTTCAGATGCCTCCAGTGGCCGAATTCATGAGATTAAAGATGGCCTTAATAAGTGCAAGTTCTATTTTTCCCTTCCCTAATTAGGCTAATCAAATCTTCTTGCATTGAAGGTCCCTTCTGATGTTCACGATGGAAAACTGTTTCTATGTGCTGATTTCACAAGCGGTCCGTTATTTGAAGGATCCATCTGTTCACTCACGTGATAAGCAGAGGATGAAACAGGAACTAAGTTCAGAACTGGTAACTTTTCAGTTTCACACTGCTCTAAACTGTTTAATAATTACAAATAATACTGTGTATTAGTTAGTCACTCTCTCAAAATGAAACTTGCTTGATATCTGAGATAGTAGGAACTGCAGATGCTGGAAAATCTGAGATAACAAGGTGTAGAACTGGATGAACACAGCTTGTTTCCTCATTTCAACACATCCTGAAAAGTTTATAGGAAAATAACTTCACAAATTGTGATAAGAAACAGAGGAAAAATTGTAAAAGCGTTCTCCATTTTGATGTAATTTCTTGCATTTACCAAAGTTGGCAAATGTTGGCTGTAAGTATAAATGAGATTCACATTTGCATTCTGTTTTGCCAACATCAACAAAAAAAATCAGAGCAGGAAAATATAGTGTGCATGCATATCTATACATAATACAGTATAGAAATTAATTGCAGATCGCTGCTTACCCTGTCGGTTTATAGAATTTCTTTTTCCCTCTGCTTCCTGTGTTCTAATTCTTGAGCCTTTGTTTCCAATGCTGGTCCTTATTCACACTGGTTTCTTTAGCATTTTTACTGCTCTTTTCTTTAGTGGTAATTATCAACTGGCATAAAAAATACTTCTGCCTAGACCCTAGATTGCATCGTGGAATTGGTGAGGGCTGGAATGTTCACACATCAGATAATGATTATCAAACTATGGGTTGGAAATTTGTCTGGCTGCTTTAATTTTATCACTTTATAGAAAACAAAATTTAAAGCCATACTGACAAATGAAATTGAGAGTTTATGGGTGCTTTATACAACAGAGGACATTAAAATATTTGGCATGTTATCAAAACTGCAAAGTGGTGAGTAATTTGAATACTTGAACACAATTCTGCTGTACAATCAGTTCTATTCAATTTGGAAATAAAGTGTAACAGAATAGCTGTGTGTACTAGAAGGTCCAGCTGGCTTGGGTAATTGGTCACAAGTAATTTCCCATTGTATTTTAAACATAGAAGATTTTTAGGGGACTTGACAGGGTAGATAGAGAGAGGTTGTTTCTCCTTCTAAAGAATCTTGGACCAAAGGGCGTAATCTAAGAACAAGGGGTTACACATTTAAGACAGATGAAGAGAGATTTCTCCTGATGGTTGTGAATCTGTGGAATTCTGTATGATAGAAGACTATTGAGGCTGGATCATTAAATGCAACCACCTAGCAGTATTATCACTGGACTGTTAATCCAGAGACCCAGGTAATGTTCTGGGGGCCCGGGATTGAATCCTGCCACAGCAGCTAGTGGAATTTCAATTCAATTTTTTTTAAAAACTGGAATTAAGACTCTAATGATGACCAATAATGCACTGATTGTAGGAAAACCCCAGCTGGTTCACTAATGTCCTTGGGAAGAAAACTGCCATCCTTACCCGGTCTGGCCTACATGATTCCAGACCCACAGCAAATGGCTAACTCTTAACTGCCCTCTGGGCAATAAATGCTAGCCAAGCCAGCAATCCCCTCATCCTGTGAATGAACAAACAAAAAAGCAAATTCAAGGGAATCTGGGGAAAAAGTAGGAAGGTGAAGTTGAGGATTATCAGATCTCCATTTAATGGCAGGGCACCCTCAATGGGCTGAATGGCTTACTCCCATGTCTTATGGTTAAGTCTCCAGTGAACCTGGACTAAGGACACAGTCTAGGATATTTTACCAGTTTTGATATACAACTACAAATGAATCAATAAGCATCTGTACTTGTTTGTTCTTTAGAGGTTAAAGTTTAGATCAAAGAAATGAGCAACTTTGTTGTAGAAAGTATACTGAAGAATTTAGTTTTATTTAGATTTTCTTAATGTTTCATGTAATGTTTATTGTCTGTCACTGTTTCAGAGTACAGTTTTGTCTAGCATTTCTCGCTATTCCCGTCGTGGCACACCATGTTCCCCTGCTGCGGCCTTACTGATGTCTCCTCCAAGCAAATCCAGCTGCTCCATATCCAAGTTGAGTCCTGAGAATCAGGAACCATTAATCCAGCTTGTCCAGGCCTTTGTGCGACAGATCCAGAGATAGAATAGGATCAACCATTCTGTTAAACTTCAATGCTTTCTAGCTCTGGACTATGTACAACTTCATTTGCAGCAGTTTTTACTGACCAAAGCTCATGTGAACATGTCAGAATAGGACTCTGGCTATTTTAATTGAAACTGTTATTGAAAATGCTTATTTTTGGTAAACAATTTTCAGCTGATCCACTTGTTTGTCTCAAAGTTAAATAGAATTACATTACAAAATATAATCATGACAGCCCATTTGAATAAATGGTAGCTGTATATAAACAATTGAAGAATTGTACAGTCGCATCTGCTATTAGTTTTGTGACAGTAAAGATGTACCTCAAGCCATTTGAGACTTTCTACTGTAGAATTGTAATGTTAATGAATAGGAGGGGTTCAAGGAAAAAAAGTCATTCTGAAGGGATGTCGTGCTGTGTTAGTTGCATCTTTATAAGGCATCTTTAATTCCAGTTTTATAATAAATGTGAAACCTATTCACCAGTGAAAGCTGCCATGGAAACAACACTCCCTGGTTGGGTTCGTGTGTTGCAAGCATCTCTGTTGAGACTTATCAAGAAACAGCATTTCAGATTGGTTAGGAATGCTATGACAGTTTATAATCTTTTTACAGCTACTCATTACTTTATATCTGACACAGTTCATCCTTTGGGCATTTCCTGCAAAACTTACCAATGAATTTTAGATGTGTAGTTGCAGCTACTTTTGTTGTGGGTGTAAGTACTATTCATTACTGTTCATTTTTAGATTGATTAGAGGTGCTGCTGCATCAAAAAAACAAGTACTGGCAGTTGTTTGACCAAAGTACGTTTTTTTAGTTAAGTAATTTCCAAGGTTCAAATAAACAAAATACTATAACTCTTGCAGAAGAGGTTAAAAGGCTAATGAGTGGGTTTTTAGACAATCCTATGTGAATTAGCAGAAACATTTTATTTAATATTTGATTTTTACTGGATGCACTCATTTTTACTTGAGATTTTGCAATAACTAGAGGCAACCTTGTGTGACTGTTCTGTCAGAAATCGTGGGGGTGGGGGAACCTAATTTGCTCTGGCTGTAAAGTGTCCATGACTTGCAGACCACAACTTTATACCTGTGACTACTTCTTCAGTGAAGAAAACCAACTTTTTTTCTAGAGGCCTTCTCCTCCAGTAGTAGCTAAGAATTTTAAAAAGCTTAACAGACCACCTGATGCAGACAATGTTACAACTCAAATGTTCAGCTTGGGTCCAAGTTACACCCAACAGCCTGAACAACCCATTGACTTTGGTATCAAGTGTGGCAGGGAATTTTGTGAGACTGTGAGACAGTGAGATATAGTGATAAAAGAAAGTTTTAAAATAAATCAATGATTATGGCCACTAATTTATTGTTAAACAAAAAAAGTACAACAGAATCATAGAATAGGATTCTTGAAAACACTGGTTTAAAAAAATGTAATAAAGACACTAAATCAGGAAATTTAATGAGAAACAACCATTCCTCAAAACATCAATGAAATTCTGAATCCTGTTGGAAAAAGTTTAGACATTTCAGTCACTGTAACTGTCCCAATGATTGTTGTAATAAACACAAGCAACTTAATTGAAAGACTCATCTTGCAGTCACTTTGTGAAACTGCCATTCATTTTGTAACTTATTGTTGGGACACTCTACCATTATACAATGTTGATTTACCTTTTTGTGATGGTTTTAAAGTTTATAAAAGCTTTTAAAAAGCTGAAGAATAAACTTAATCTTGTGATGGTTCCTGATTTTCTGGTCTGATCAAAATCACATTGCTAGACCCATGCATTCAACTGCACTAAATTTAAAAAGCAGCTCCACTACAAGGTGTTTATTGCCATTTTAGCTTTAATTATGGGCTTGCTTCACCTATGTGGAAATAAAATTTACTGCCTCAGTTTACTTCATGTGCCACCACTTGCATCTACTTTTTTTACTTGCCTTAAAAGCTCTTTATATGTGAGCACATACTGTTCACTGTTAATATCCCACCTGATTAATGAATGTTCTTTTGGGTTCCACCTGGTGTTGAACATTGTGGCACTAAAGAGTTATATTAACTGCCACATGGTGGGATTTCAACAGAACTACTCAGAAGATTGCAACAGTTTGTTTCTTCATAGCATTTTTTTTAAACTTACTGCAACACCAAAGCTTGGCAAAATTAGTTGCATTTCAAAATGAAATTTAAATGATTTCCTTAACTTCATCTGCACTCAACATACTGCCTTCACCAGTTGAAAATGGCTGAGTAAGGTAAGATTTGCTTATGCCAGATGTGTGTATTGATAATATATTACAGTAAGAGACTCACCGCTCTCTTTGCCGAAGCTCGAGGGTATCATTTGCAATCAGGATGATGAGGGTTCACTATTTTAATAACAGGGCTGTGTGCAACCCGAACAGAGTTGCCATTTCTTATGGCGACTGAAGGATAACCTAAGAAATTGTATATTTTTCTCAATTATTTATGTGTAACATTTGATTTAAAAAAAACTTTAGGGATTTAATATTATGTATATTTTTTTAAAGCCAACCAAAATTAACATTGCTTTTTGAAGAACATTCCTGACAAATGTGCATATGTTTTAGTTTTGCTGTACTTATTACTGCATTGAAATTTTCAATGTTGTACTTAAAAATTAAGGCTAGAGTAACTTTCCAGACTCAATTGTGGTTGTTCTTGTTCCAACTTCACAACAGAAAATAAATGTGGGATTTTTTCCAAAACAAACTTTATGCAAAGTAAATGACTTTTATACAGAAATAGTAATTTAGAAGAACAGTGGAAAAGTGCTATATAATTTGAGTCGATTTATGTCAAAGCAGTAAAGTTGGTCTGAACTGAGCTTTTTCTCAGACATACAGTACATTAGTTTTGGACAACAGCATTCAGCTATCCAGTTTAAGTAGTATTCGTAATTCATCTTTTGAGAAAAATCACTGACCCTGTTGTACTCAAGTACTTACGGGTCAGTGAGTCAAGGGGAATCCATTTAAGAATGTTGCCAGGATTGAAGGGTTTGAGTTACAGGGAGAGACTGAATAGGATAGGGCTTTTTTTTTCCCCCCTGGAGCATTGGGGGCTAGAGGGGTGACCTCATGTTTATAAAATCATGAGGGGTGTAGATAGGGCGAATAGTCAAGGTTTTTCTCCCCATGGTAGGGGAGTCCAAAACTAGAGTGTATAGGTTGAACAGGAGAGAAGAAAGATTTAAGAGGGACCTGAGGAGTGACTTTTTCATGGAGGTTGGTGCTTGTATGGAACATGCTGGAGACCGGTACATTTACAATATATAAAAGGCATCTGGATGGGTATATAGATAGAAAGGATTGAGGGACATGGGCCAAATGCAACTAATTCATTTTATGACCTCTGGTAGGTGTGGATGAGTTGAACCAAAAGGTCTGCTTTCATGCTGCTTGACTATGTGTTTAGGTTTTGTGACCTTATTAAATATGTGCATTGTGTTTGAAGTTTTGCTGCTTACTGATATTTTAAAGACTTAATATTCCTTCAAGAATGAAATACTTAAATAATTCTTAACACTACTTCATTTTTTGCAATAACATATTTTGGAGAGGTTCACATCTACTTTCAGATCACAGTCCAATGACTTGTTTGGCTTCTTTCAGACCGCTTATAGGGAACACACCACTACTCAGTTCAGATGCAAGTTTATCATTTCTAGAAGTGACATAGATTGATGACCTGTTTCCATACTGTAGACAACTGGTCTCTGCATTTATGCATCACATCAGCATATTTGAAGGGATATATCAGTGCTCAAATGGTCTTTAACCTTGATTGCTCCTTTGGTTTAGTTAAATTTCTTGAATGACTATTTCCGGGCTTCTTAATGTTCTCATAGGAAGTTACAGCTTGTTCATTGTTGCACTATTAATATCTGATTCTTCTTAGTAATTTGTCAAGCCTGAGCTGGTCAGTGAAATGACTGCTTTTCAGCTATGCCTTAGAGAATGAGGCTACAGGGCCTGGAACTCAGTTGACCGGAGCAGACTGACATGAAGGATTGATAATGGTATAGATGGATCAATTTTGTAGATTTAGGTAATTTGCTGAATGATGTGCTGTTCTATATTTTCTCCCTACCTTTTCCAGTGCCTTTATTGAAATCTTTGGTGTCAAAACATTTAATGAAAAGGGTTTACATTAAGGAACTGTGCTGGAGGACCAGCAGAACTAATTCTAATTTTTATATGTCTCTCTTCCCTACAATGACTTCAGTTCCTTTGAAGCAGCAGATTATCACCCACCATATTCATCTGATAGGTTGTACTAACTTCAGATGTAAGTAATTTAGTATTCCTATCATGCCACTGATAATTTAAAATTCTTTTGTTCCATTCCCTGTCCTTGTTTTAGTTTTATAACTTTGCTTTCCTGATTAACAACACATGATCAATGTATCTTTTAGTTTGTTTTAACCATCCCATTTGTGGTTTGGGGGTCTTCACTGAATCTTTAATATAATATATGCATCTTCAGAAAATTCAAAACCAATGATTCTAGAACATTAGATGCAATAACCAAGTAGAAATCCTATTTGCACTAAATCAAGAACAATTCTATACTTAATAAGAAAGTTTCACTGAGTTCCTAAAATATTACAAAGCAAACTTGAGCAAGATAGTCAATACTAAACTAGTTCTTTAATGTAAGTGATGTGTGCTATGAAGAAAGTGTCAGTCAAGTTTAATAGTTAGAATATAGCAAAATGTTTCACGATTATTTACCTGTTTAAATGGCTTTTGAAAAGAGCAAGCTCAAAATCAGTCCGATTGCAATTTAGAATTCTTACAAATTTGGCCACTGCAAAGAATGGCTCTTTTATACGATTGGATAAATCCTGAATCAGAACAAGGATCTAAATATTTAGCTATCCTTCATATTCAGTAAAGTGATCCAAATATTGTGCAATTTTTAAAACGGCTTGAGAGAACTCAACTAACATGCGAGCCTGTTGGGAAACTGTAGTTATGGTCTAGCTGAAAATCTGAACCAAATGCTTACGTAGCTCAACCCTGTGAAAATTAGCTGCAGAGGCAGAGTTCTGCCTCTGCACTCTGAAATGAAGAGGCACCAGGTTCCCACAGACTTTGATTGTTTCTTTTAATCTGCAGTCTGCTGCATGCACTGTAAACATGAACTTAGCCTTTATTTATATTAAAAAGTTACACATTTGAAATGGTTGCAGGAACATAACTATTAGAATATACAATTAAGTACTGAAGCAAAGAGGAGGCCAGCATCGGCAGTGTTAGGGTGTGGCTCTGAGAGAATCCCTGCAAAGTTAGGGCACTTTCACAACTTAAGCATTCAGGGTAAAACCACAAATTTTAACTTCAAGAAATTAGTATGATACCATTTCAGTAATAAGACAACACAATTTCAGTTTAAACACTGCCTGAAGACCAAAAAAGTCTCATTTGAATTTGCATTAATCTACTTAGTTTAATTTAAATGGGACCCACACTTGCATTGAGACAACCAATTTAAAAATGAAAATAACATGTACTTAATAACCAAAAAATGTAGACAAATGCCATATGATTTTTAAGCATAATTACAAAAGTGACCTATTCCTGTGTCAAATTGTAGCTGGTGCAAGTTCCACACCACAAAAACATTATGTAAGGTGCTTCGGTAAGGTCTCTCAATGGCCCGGTGTGTGGCAATGCCCTGTACTCCCTTTTATTCAAAACTGAAGAAAAAAATCAAAAATGGTTCTTTGAGGTTACTTTTTTTTTTAATGTCTATATACATATAAAATGACGTATATACACTGATGTATTTACTGAAGTTACTATTTTGGCAACACAAAATGAGCAAAAGTACTATTCAAACTGGTTCCAATATCTAACTGAGAAGGCAGTTAAATGGATATTTTTGTACAGTTGAGAATGCAGAGTCACCACATAGTTAACTTCAGATTTAACACAACTTATGTTCTAAGTGCATTGTGCTTACTATTTAGCAAGATGGTATCAATTCCATCTCGTTTGTATAATGCACTTCAGCTGTGAGATTTCAACCTTTCGATAGAAGTGATCAATAGCTTAACCACCTCCAAATCCAGCAATCAACTGGTTATTATTTAACTGTGGTTCCAATTTGAATTTAAGGAACCAGGAGCTCACCAAGCTTCTTGTCAAAGAGACATTACATTCAACTGAAGTTCATAATGTTGGATCTTTTGTTTCTTTGTAAGTTAACACCATTATGCTCTCAAAAAGAACTCTTACATTCAGATGACTAAGAGCTTTTTTTAAAGGCTCTTATTGTAAATTGAAAGTTATGTTTAAGGGCTGATCAATTAAGAGTGTTGTTAATTCTACACTGCAATTAATAAAATACCTGATCATAAGCACAATTCACTCAAGATAGGCCAATCTGGATTATAGTGAGCTGCTGCTGCTCAAAAGGTGGAAGCCAAGACAGGTAAAAACAAAAATATATTATTTTAGCCACAATGCTAAATTTTAAAAATTCAAAAACCTGTGTCTATGCAATGCAAGAACTCAAACAATCAAAAATGTCTGCAGTTTCTTTAACTCAGCAAACTATAATATAATTTGAATAATTTTCCATAGGAAATACCTTCATCTGACTAGACAGAAGAAATTTTTAAAAAAATGCAAGTGGAGTTTGTTGCTTGGTTATTCTGAGAGAAGCAGAATTTAAACACCTACCTCAGCTATCATTTGAACTCTGCTCAACAGGAGGCCATCACTTCCTTCAAGGCTACATAACGAAGCATTGTATATTATCTCTTTGAAAAGAAGAAATTGGGAAATCTGGACTTCAAATATTAATCTGTTCTATTCATAGGACAGTGAAAATAGCTCCAAAACAGTACCAAAAATCCTAGGTACACAGCTCAAAAGTCATGAATCGGAATTAAATACATTCCTGACCGAGTCAGATTTGCGTCAATGCACCATTTTATACAAGGAACACTAGGGCACCAGCATATCCAAAGATATTAGAGTGGGAGACAGTAGCTTGTCCCTTTAAGTTGGAAGTTTGGATTTCCAAAAACATTAGAGGTGCAATTATGAACCATTGCATTATTTTTATGGGCACATGATCAAAATTATTTCACCTTTCAAGCAGTAAATACCATAAAATGATTTTACTGATTAGTGATAATTTCACAAATGTGCAAACTCTAGCTTAAAATAGTGCATTGGTACAGGTGGGAATTCAAAACAGCAGGATTCCACGATTTAATCATTTATAAGAATCATTAACATGGAGTATTGACAATATAAGGCAAAGTACCTACTTGTCCTATGCATTTTTGTGTAGGGGAAGCCGGGATTAATCTTAGAGCAAAAGTTAAGGCCATTTCTGAGTGCATCACTGGATGAACAGATACGTTGGCAGACAGTGGACCAATAGTTAAGTAATCAGTCTTAAAATTATAAAATTCCAATGACTGAGGTGGAAAACCTGCGTCATCATACTGGTGTATCAAAGTGATAGATCATTAAACTAAATTAAATCAGTTTTGTCCTCCATTACCAGGAGACAGATTGGAGGCCTGCGACCAACAATGTTCCACAGGGATCAGGTCTGGGTCCACTTTTGTTTATAGAAGTGACAATTTGGATAAGAATAGAGGAAGCAGTGTTAGTAAGTTTGCGGATGACACCAAAATTAGTGCTATAGTGGACAGCAAAGGTGGTTATCTAAGATAACAAAGAGATCTTGGTCAATGGGCTGAGGAGTGGCAGATGGAGTTCAATTTGGATAACTGAGGTATTGCATTTTGGTAAACCAAACAAGGGTAGGACTTGTCCAGTTAATGATAGGGCCCTGGGTAGTGTTGCAGAACAGTGACCGAGGAGCTCAGGTACATAACTCTTTGAAATTTACGTGACAGGTACACAAGGCGGTTAAGAAGGCATTTAGCATGCTTGCCTTCATTGCTCAGACCTCTGAATTGAGGAGGTGAGACATCAACATCCTGTACAACCTCAATATGGTGAGCCTCTTCTAGAGTACTGCTGAAAGGAAGGATATTATTAAATTGGAGAGAGGTCAGAAGTTTTACCAGCATGTTTCTGGGAGTGGAGGGTTTGTGTTATAAAAATAGGCTAGGGCTATTTTCACTGGAGCGCAAGAGGTTGAGGGGTGACTTTATAGTGGTTTATAAGATCAGGAGGGGCACAGATAAGGTGAATGGCAGGAGTCTTTTTCCTAGAATGGGGGAGTTCAAAACCAGGCATATTTTAAAGTGAGAGGGGAAGGTTTTTTTTTTAAAACACAAAGTGGTTGGTGTGTGGAATGAACTGTCAGGAAGTGGTGGATGTGGATACAGTTAATGTTTAAAAAATATTTGCACACAAATAGGAAATGTTTGGAGGGATATAGGCCAAATGCAGACAAGTGGGATTAGTTTAATATGGGATTTTGGTCAATGTGGACTAGTTGGACCAAAGGGTCTGTTTCCATGCTTTATGACTCTGACTGTGTTAGATGCGTTCATGACCAGGTGTTGAATATCATGAATGAACTACAATTGTTGGCAGATAAAAAGTGTTCAGGCCATGACACGTAAACTGATATGAGCAAGACCAATATTATGAAAATTTCTAGCAATGCAGGTGAAAGTGAGTAGCAGAATTTTTTTAAAAAATTAATTCATGGAATGAAAGCATCACTGGCATGACCAGCATTTGTCACGCCCTCAAGTTAGGTCAAGAAATACAACCTAAATACAGAGAATGCAAAATGATAGATGCTAGACATGGGAAGCTGCTAAGATTCAAGGGAAAAACTGACACCTAACAGAAGGTATTATTGAAACTACTGAGAAAAGATCTGAGGAAAAAGAAAGTAATATGATTAGGAGGAAGCAACTGAAGGATGCATCTAGACTGGGAGATTAAAAGAACAAAAGCGCAATAAAAGTGTTTTAGAGAAGCAAGAATAGCATCTTAACTTTTCTGAAAAAGACCACTAAGGATATTGAGACACAAAATGGGTGATGGTTAAACGTATGGTGTAAATTGACAGACATCAATGCCCTAACTTCACATTTTAATTTGAAGTACAGTTTCTAACTCATGTCAAACATTTGGAGATTGGTTGCAAATCTGGTTACTACAGCTACTAATTTTCATGGCTGCAGATAGACCAACTTACAACTTCTCTTTCTCTGACAAACACAATTGAGAATTAGAATTTCAATAGAAAGCCCCAGAAACCCAAATCTTCTGTTTCTGCTGGTCTGGGATTAAAACTTTTTTCAAGTTAAGGGCACTTAGCAGACCTAAAAGTAAGCTGAATACTAGAAATTGTTTCATAACTTTATGCTATCCACTTAATATACAGACCAGGAAACAAAAACAATAAACAACGTGATTTAAGTCAGCGAGCCAGATTGAGTTTCTACAACTGTAGCCAATTGTTTGAATTAAGATTTGAAATACCCACATACTAGTTTCATCAGTGATATTCTAAGTATAAAGAAACATGCAATCTAATTGGAAATCATACCCAAAATTTAATTTTGATACCCAGACGATATCAGTTACAATACAGTTTTCTAATGAGGTTGTAGAACTGCTCGCTGAGCCGGAGTGTTTGACTGCAGATGTTTCGTTACCCTGCTAGGCAACATGGTCAGCATGCCTCCGGTGAAGCATTGGTGTTCTTTCCACTTGTTATTTAAATGCCTCAGTTTGCTGGGGTGGTTGGCATCACTTCCAGTCTGAAACTGGATGTGATACCAACCACCCCAGCAAACCAAAGCATTTAAATAACAAGCGGGACAGAACACTGGCACTTCCCTAGAGGCGAACTGACAACATTACTGAGCAGGGTGATGAAACTTCTGCAACCAAACACACCGGCTCAGCGAGCAGTTCTACAACTTCATCCACAACCCAAGCTACAAATCTTCTGAAAAACTTTGTTTTCCAATATTGTAGGATACAAACCACTGATGATCTGGTAATTGTGAAATACTTTTCCTCAAAATGGAACTATACTATATGTATTAAATCATTAGATAAATCAATTAACATCCAACTTTAAAACTGTCCAAATGTCTTATTTTGATCACCTATAACAAACTTTAAAACAATATAAAGTTATTGCTGCCAGCTCAGCAGATGGAGGCCAAAATATGGGGCACGTTCACAGTTCAAGTGTTAAGAGTTTCTTTGTTTTAACAACCAATGGATAATGCGCCTCTTATCTGATAATCCAGTCCAGGCACACTAAGTGGATACTTAGTGTACGCAGTAGTTATCTTAACTAACTGCTTTCTGAGCTATTATTAATTTGATTGATTTTTTTGACACAATCGGCTTGCCATCATTTTGTAAAGAAACCAATTCTGAAATTAAACCTATTCTAAACTAAGGTCAAGCTTGCTTACTCAGTTCACCAAGTAGAGTGAAAGGAAACCTTTTGGGCATGCATTAGAAGTGATATTCCTTTTCATTGAAAACAAAGTAGGGAGAAAATGGACAGAAATTCTATTACATTGCTCTATGGTTGTGTCTCGACATTAAAACATCATCTTCACACTTTCACAATTCTGAACAGGTTAATGGGCATAAAAAAAATAAAAACTGCGGATGCTGTAAATCAGGAACAAAAAACAGAAGTTGCTGCAAAAGCTCAGCAGGCCTGGCAGCATCTGCGAAGAAAAATCAGAGTTATTGTTTCTGGTCCGGTTCTGAGGAAGGGTCACCAGACCGGAAACGTTAACTCTGACTTTTCTTCACAGATGCTGCCAAACTTGCTGAAGTTATTGGGCACAATGTGCTCATACAAATCAAACTACTACTCCATATCCTCACTACCAGGTAGGTATCACAAGTCCTGCATGCATCTAAAGTTAAAATTGGCAGCACAACAAATGGAGACCAGAACTTAAGAATATGAAGTTGAGAGACTGGATTTAACCACTTTTCCAGGTCAGTGTTCATGTTAAAACAGTTCTTCCTGTACTAAATTCAATAATTTCATCATTCATAACTTGACTATGTTATGCTACATTTGAAATTTCTCAAACAATGCACTCGGATGACATGATAGTTTAAATTAAACTTGCTGTTGTAAAACAGGGTCTTGTATACAACACTCACTTAATTCACTCATCAAATGTGCCCTTAGTTTGTTTCATCCTGGGACCTGAGCCATCTGCTGGAGAACAGGGACTGTGGTGAAAAGTGCTGAAACATAATTTTGAGAGTCTGCATTAAAACAGTCCCCGTGAGAAAACCAAGAATGTTAATTTTTGACATTAATACATTTCAGGGCATCCACACATCTTTGTCAACTATAAAAAGTGTTTCCTCACTATACTAAGTCCGTGCTGGTGAAAGGGTTAAAACTAATACTGCTGACTTCTTAAACCTATAATAATAATTTAGAGTCAACATGGTGACACCGAAAATAATCATTATGAATTTCAGCACATACAGATTTGTTATTACCTGAACTAATGTGTTATATCTTTAGGGAGGAATTTCAGGTCAAACAAATAATTGTTGCCAACTTATCAAAAATGGTATCAGATTCCCTTTCTAGATGTGCAGACTTAGACAGACAATATTAATAACCTGAATGTGTGCCTAAAAAACCTAAAGCAGCAAGGGCACCACTCTACCCAGCAGCATCTATCTTTCACAAGTTAATATGAAGACCTGGCATACACAGGTGAAATCACTGACTACTTGGATGGGTTGAAAAGTCAAACTCAGCACACAACCCATTGCTTTGAAAAGTTAATTTGTCAGCTATGTACAGAAACCTCCAGTTTCAACTTCAGAACATTCTCCCATTACTGAAAATGATCGACTGCAGCTTAATTATCAACAGTAAACAAAAGACAATACTTTTGAAAAACATCTCTGCTTAACATTTTAAAATTCCATAATGCAGAGTCCATGCACAAAATGTACAACCACTTATGTTAACGCCTTATGAGAAGTCTGCTAATTGAGGACGTTGAACAATGGTCAAGAGCATCCCAGTCCTTTCAGTACCAGCCTGGCTAAAACACTTCTTTCAGTCTCTTATGTACAGTTTAGTTTGTTTTTTTCCATCAAAACCTCAATTACTGGCATCCAGTATTACTCATGCAAAATAAAAAACCCAACACAGCACATCAACTTAGCATTCTGGTATTTACAGTCTTTCTCCTACAGTACAGAATAATATTTTAAGGTTTCCTGTGCAATTGTTAGTACCACTATAAACAGAAGTCCACAACCAGTAAGTGAACCGTCGTACCTTTATACCTAACAATGTTAAACAGTCTCCAAAGCAGAGTCTATCTGCAGGCCACATTTGGCCATTTAAAGTGAGCTGTATGGATAGGTCCACCATTGGACGCTTGAAACCAGCTTGGCACGGGTGGTAGGAAAGCAAATTGAATGCAGGCAATGGCATAAAATCTGGGACATTTCCCTAGCGCGATGCCACCTGTTCTACAGTCTTGTTTAAAAACAAACCTCCGAAGGTGAAGCACGAATTGACTTCTGCAGCTCAGGTAAATAAAGCAAGTAATTTAAAGGGGTTCATTAGCTGCCATCTAAGGTTTAGTTTTCACTGCTGAAATTTAAGTTTTCTCTTCACGCTCCGTTTTCCGTCGCTGAATGTTGCGTGGTTTGATTTTTAATGACAGTTCCCACAGTGCTTCCTCTGCTAGGTGGTCGCTGAAGTCATTGAAGAATATAACAATATCATCAATGCGCTTTAGTTCATAATGACTGAAAAGAAAAAGTAACAGAAGTTATCTTCAGTCTTAATTGTGTTACGCTTTGAGGGACAGCGCAAATGGAGATTGAAAGACTGACACTAAAAACTCATGCCTTTCTGAAGGTACCCCATAAATTGAGAATTAATGGGTGGGCCTATTCATGACATACAGTACACAGATTTTTCTCTAAAGCAGGAAGCCTGGGAGATTACAAAATAAAACATCAATTTTCCCATAGGTAGAATGCAAGTTATATTAGCCTATGGTGCACTGCCCAGCAATCAGTTAAAATTTCAACTTGACAGAGAACTTGGACAGAGAGTTTTGTTGGCCTCTCAGGAATCAAAAACATTCAGCTAGCATAAAAACAAAAGAAAGCACAACAGTGCCAAAAGTGGATCTAAACCAACAATGGTTGTGTAGCATTTAGCATGGACCCATGATTACTAGTTTTCTTCATATCCATCTATCTCTTCAGAGTGAAGCTGCATGTTTTTGGGACTCATGAATACTTACACTTGCTGGAAGCGTCGCATACTATCCAAGATATTAAACTGTTGCCACCGTTTAGAAAAATTGATTTTTCCATCAATTAGATCTGGGTTGCCAAGATGCACAAAGGTCAGGTCCTGTAGAATGAGGCCCCTATAAAAACAAGAGGAGTAAAGATCCAAAAAGTTTTTGGCAACCTATATGCACAAGTGTGGCTGTGGGCTAGAAGAAACTGAACATGAATCAATTCCTGATAGAGCTTACAACACGTTTGCATTTTGCAGTGCATACTAAACTTAATGAAGTATAAAGGTAAATAACAACAGGTGGTGATAACAAGAACAGCAGATACTGGAGTTCAGAGACAATACATTGTGGAGCTGGAGGAACACAGCAGGCCAGGCAGCAGAGGAACAGGAAAGTTGACGTTTTGGGTCAGGACCCTTCTTCAGAAATGGGCAGGTGGAAGGGAACTGGGAGATCAAGAGAGGAGTGGTGGGGCTGGGGAAGGTACATGACATAACCTGTTCATCGTCTCTCCCACCTATCTGCCCCACCCATCCCACTGACCAATCACCATCCAACTTACCTTCCTATTTATTTCCCAGCTCCCTTCCACCTGTCCATTTCTGAAGAAGGATCCCGACCCAAAACGTCAACTTTCCTGCTCCTCTAAATGTTGTCTGGCCTGCTGTGTTCCTCCAGCTCCACACTGTTGTTAAATAACAACAGTTAGTGGCTGTTCTTACTTGCTATTCACACTCAAGATTTGAGCTCAAATTTATTTGCCTCCACTAGTGAATGGAATAAAGCCAATGCAACTAACCATGATTAATAGTTAGCACTGACCATTCAGAAAGCTGTTGAGTTAGATGCATATTTATAGACCAAAACTGCATACAGTACTCCAGGTGTGGCCTCCCAAGGCCCTATACAATTGCAGCAAGACATCCTCGCTCCTGTACTCAAACCTCTCAACATGAAGACCAACATTCCATTTGCCTTATTCACCACCTGCAGGCTTACTTGCAGCAACTGGTGTACAAACTGACCCGGGTCCTGTTGCACCTCCCCCTTTAGCAATCTAAATTGCCATTCAGAAAAGAATCTGCCTTCCTGTTTTTGCTCTCAAAGTGGATAACCTCACATTTATCCACATTATACTTCATCAGGCATCCATTTGCCCACTCTTTTAGAATCATAGAATCCCTACAGCAAGGAAAAACATGCCCTTTGACCCAACAAGTCCACATCGACCCTCAGAGTATCCCACTCAGACCCATCCCCGGCCACTATGGGCAATTTAGCATGGCCAATCCACCTAGCCGGCA